CCCATGGGCGGCACTCCCAGAGCCGCCTCTGCGTGGGCTGCACTCCCATGGGCGGCACTCCCAGAGCCGCCTCTGCGTTGTCAGGACCTCCTCCTCACTGTTAGTCCCTGGGCCGGGACTAATGCAAATTAGGACGTTGCCAGCTGTGACTGCCTCTTTTATGCCAGTCACATATGCCATCGATGCCTTCCCACTCCCTCATTGATCCCAGGACCACTAACATTTGGTCCTTAACGCTGACCTCCCCAGGACACATGCCCCGTGTCTCCGTCCCTTACAAGACGGTACATTCCCATGGTCTACTCTGAGGTGAGGGGCAGGTTCAGTGATGTGCTGGTAAATTTCTAACAACTGGCTCTCTCCCCACTAGAAAGGGGGACAAGTCCAGTGTGTCTCTCATTTCTTCATTGCTCATCAAAGACTCCATTACCAAAGCTTGGTCATAATGCTTTACCCCCATTTCCTTCTAAAAGTTTTATTTTTTTAGCGCTTGCATTTCAGGGGTGTCTAATTTTTTTTTTTGTTTGCTGCACATTGGAAGAATAAGAGTTGTGTTGGGCCACACATTAAATACACCAACTCCAATGAAAGCTGATGAGCCAAAAAAACAAAAAAAGAAGTCTGTGCATACTTCTTGTGATATCTGACAGCAAAGATAAGCAAAAGAAATCCTCAGAAAGCCATCATGTGTGTGGCCCAGGAGCTGTAGGTTGGACAACCCCTGATTTAGGGCTTTGATCCATTTTGACTTAGTTTTTGTGTATAGTATGAGAGGGAATTCAACTGCATTCTTTTGCTGGGGCATGTTACCTGGTTGTCCCAGTAACATTTGTGGAAGAGGCTTTTCTTTCCCCATTGAATTATCTTGGCACCCTGTTGAAAATCCATTGTGTTGTATGAAGTCTGACAAAAAAGTTTGTGAATTTGCCACCAGGCACTTACTTTGGCTACAGTATATAAATAGCTCAGTGAGGGTTTATAATCTTGGTATATCAGTGTCTCATAGCTGTGTTTATGACAGAGTGTACTGTGTCTTGCTGAGAGGTGTTCATTATTGTCTCAGGGTTTTGATGACAGCTCTGATAGCCATTCCAGAAAAAGGGTTCCAAAATTGCCTTGCAGGGGGACTAGGTGCTGGCTTCAGTGCATTGCTTCCCAAGGGGAGGACTTTGAAGGTGACCGTAGTGATATTTAGCAATGAGGTATGTAGCACTTTTTATAGGACGGGTTTACGAACTTAATTGTCAGACTGTGTCTTTGAAAATTCAAACACATTCGCACTTGCAAATATGCTTGTATGTGGATATTCATAGATTCAAATTCAGCTATCTTTATCTGCATTTTTATAATTGTATCTTTTACAAAATTAAGATATATAGAGAGTTCTGGGGCTTTTTAAGTAATCAGCAATATATCCCATGACGGTATATACATTCTCCCTCATTCTTTTTTAATGGTTCCATGATATTTCCTGGAACGTATATGCTGTGGTTTCTCTGACCAGTTCTCTGTCATTGGATGTTTATGTTGTTTCTGACTTTTCCCCCTAATTCTCTCCGTTGGCACAGCGAGTGTTCTTACACAGGTCTCTGTGTACATGGGGGAGCACTTTCCACGGTTAGATATCGGAAAGTGGAATTGGTTTTGTGCCTTTTTAATGTCTTCCCCTCAGCTGTGCTTTGTGATGCCTGGTACATATTAGGCACTTAATAAATATTTACTAAAGTGAACTCTTAGGGGCTTTTATCCTGGATTTATCCCTAGCTTGCTATTTCATCTCAGTAAACTGTTTTATGACACCCGTAGGCCTATTTCACTTCCTCTAAAGTGAATGAAGGTTTTGGTATCCAGTCTTCATTAGGGGAAGGAGGAATGAGTCAAGCAGGGTTTTCACTTTTTCTCCTAGTGTGGCCCTGGAGGTGGAGGTGAGGGAGCGGCAGCCCTGACCTTCAGAGCACTGGCACACCTTCAGGGAGCGCAGGCCGGAGGCACGTGTGTTATCATGGGGGTTTAAAGGACAGAGAGAAATGACACAGGCAGACCTTGGAGATGCTGTGGGTTCCATTTCAGACCAATACAATACAGCAGGTTTCAAAGCAGGTAATAGGAATATTGTGGGTGCCCAGTGTGTGTATGTCACATTTACATTACATGGTAGTCTGTGAAGTATGCAGTAACATTGTCTGAAAAATAATGTATGTACCTTAATGGAAAATACTGCTAAAAAATGCTAAAATATTCAGCCTTTGGTGAGGGTCTTGCCTTGATGGTAATGGCTGCTGACTGATCAGGGTGGTGGCTGCTGAAAAGGGTGGGGTAGCTGTGTAGTTTCTTAAAATAAAACAACAGTGAAGTTTGTCACATCGATTGACTCTCTTTCCTGAAAGATTTCTCTATGGCGTAGGATGCTGTTTGATGGCTTTTTACCCAAAATAGAACTTTCAGAATTGGGGTCAGTCTTGACCCCACACCTGCTGCTGCTTTATCAAGTAAGTTTATGGAATTTAATCGTCTACATTCTTTGTCGTCATTTCAAGAGTTCACAGCATCCTCACCAGGAGTAGATTCGTCACAAGAAATTAGTTTGTTTGTTGATCCATAGGAAGCAAATTCTCATTGTTCAGGGTTGCTCACGAGATCTCAGCCGTTCAGTCACCTCGCGACTCCGTTTCTAGTTCTCGTCCTGCTGTTTCTGCCATATTTACGGTTACGTCTTCGCCTGAAGTGTTGAACCCCTCAGAGTCATTCAAAAGGTTTGAAATCAACTTCTAAACTCCTTTTAATGTTGATGTTTTGACCTTTTCCCATACATGATTAATATTTTTAATGGTATCTAGAGTGGTGAATCATTTCCAATAAGTTTTCAGTTTGCTTTGCTCAGATCCATCAGGGCAAAACCCTGTGAAATGTACTTCTTAAATAATAAGACCTGAAAGTCAAGATTATTCCTTGAGTCATGGCTACAGAAGGGATACTGTGTTAGGCATAAAAACAGCAGTCATCCTCTTGACATACATCTTCATCAGAGCTCTTAGGTTGTCTGCTGCATTGTTAGTGAGGAGTCATATTTTGAAAGGAATCTTTTTTTTCTTAGCAACAGATCTCAGTAGTGGGCTTAAAATATTCAGTAAACCATTTTATATACAGATGTGCTGCCGTCCAAGCTTTGTTGTTCAACTCTAGAGTACAGGCAGAGTAGATTTAGCACAATTCTTAAGGGTCCTAGAATTTTCAGAATGGTAAATGAGCATTGGCTTCGACTTTTAAGTCACCAGCTAAAACTAACAAGAGTCAGCTCATCCTTTGAAGCTTGGCGCAGCCTGCAGTGCAGTGGTGAGATCACAGCTCACTGCAGCCTCTAACTCCTGGGCTCAGGTGATCCTCCCACCTCTGCCTCCTGAGTAGGGCATGTGCACCACAAGTGTGGGGACTACAAGCATGTGCCACCACAGTCAGCTAATTTTTAAACTTTTCATAAAGATGGAGTCTCACCGTGTTGCCTAAGCCGGTCTTGAATGCCTAACTGCAAACAGTCCTCCTGCTTTAGCCTCCTTGGAAGCTAAAGGCGTTCTTTTCTCCTCCCTAGCTATGAGAGTCTTACATGGCATCTTCAAATTAAAGCTATTTTGTCAGCACTGAGGATCTATCGTTTAGTGTAGCCACCTTCATCAGTGCTCTAAGCTAGAAATGTTGTGGCTGGTTTTGTCTTCTGTCCAGATCACTCTGATCTTTTCTGTATCAGCAATGAGGTTCTTTTGCTTTGCTATCACATGTAACTTCCTTCAGTAGCTAACCTTTTGCATTTACAGGTTGGCTCACTGTTTGGTGCGAGAGGCCCAGCTTTGGGCCTGCCTTTCCTCCCTGGCTTAGTCATTTCTAGCTTTTGATTTAAAGTGAGAGATGTATGACTTAGAGGCCATTGTAGGGTTATGATTGGCCTAATTTTAATATTGTTGTGTCTCAGGCAATAGGGAGGCTTGAGGGGAGGGAGGGAGGGAGATGGGGATGGCTGGTCAGTGCAGCAGTCAGAACACTCACACATTCATCTTTGTTGATTAAGTTCACTGTCTTACACGGGCATGGTTTGTGGACCCCAAAACAATTACAGTCGTGACATTAGCGATCATTGATCACAGCTCACCATAACAGATTGATAATAATGAAAAAGTCTGCTACGCTGTGGGG